GATTTCCATACGCCATCAGAGTTGTTTGAACAGACTCCAACTTTTCATGCAATAACTTCATTCCTTCTTCTGCGTTTAATTTATCAAGGTTCATTCCCAGCACTGCTTCTCTGGCTTTACCATTTAGGTTCAAAAACACAGTTGGAACTCTTTTCTTCATATCTATATTTGTTGCCCTTTCCCAGAACTTCATTTCCTTTTTCCAAGCATGGTACTTTTCTAGTATAAGCACTTGTGGGACTAAAAACTTAATATTTATAACCATTTGTCATTTTTTAATTTTTTAATATCAACTGTGCACTGATATCAAAGTTAACAGACAAAATTATTTACTTCTGTCTTAATAGTAAATCCATTGATAGGTCTGACAAAGCAAAACTGGCAGCTGCTCCCCAAAATAGCCATCAATCAGTTGTTAACTGGGGCAAGGAATGGCTTGTTAATTTTAATGTCTCCAAAATGAAACTGTAGTCTTTTAATCACCATAAAGAATATTTTTTGCCTTCTATCAGCATAGCTGATTCTAACCTCCATGATAGCAACTCATGTTGTCTATTTGGTCTCATGCTTTCCACTGACATGGTAACAGCATTCAATGCCTGGACAATTGGTAGATTTATAAATGTTCAAGATGGATTCTGATGAGAAAAATTGTCTGGCATGACAGAGTAAAGCAACTTTCCAAGCAGTAGATCTAGCAGTTGATTCAATATAATCACTCCACTTCATGTCACTTGAAAATATGAACCCAAGAAGGTGCAAATAGTTCATCTCCTGGAGATTAGCATCAACCATACTGATGGCAGGTCTAAAAGGTTCTCTATGGTGATTAAATGAAATTTTTGTTTTGGCGACATGAAAATTTACAAGCCATTCCTTGCCCCAGTTAACCACTGATTTGGGGTCCTTTTTGATAGCAGCTAGCAGTTTAATTTTGTCAGACTTGTTAAGACAGGAGAAAATATTTGTGTCATCCACATAAATACTTTGTTGGGAATTGATGACATTGGGAAGGTTATTGATGAAGATAAGAAACAACATATGTACAAGGATAGATTCCTGGGAGATCTCCGCATTAATATGAAATGAACTAGAAGCATGTCAGTTCAATATGACCTTCATTACATGACTTGTCAGGAATGATTAGATTAAGCCAAATATTCATCCATGGACATCATAGCCCTTGAGCTTGTGGAGAAGGCCAGCATACCAAATCCTAACAAACGCCTTTGAGATATCTAAAGCCACAGCCTGAGCCTCTCTGTTCTTATCTAAAGCCTAGCAATTGATTTAATATAATCACTCCACTTGCTGTCAGTCAGTGAAAATGTGAGCCCAAGAAAGTGCAAAGTGTTGCTTTATCTGGTCTCTAAATACAATTTCCAATGTTTCATTTTCTGAACATAGAAATTTATTGAGAGATTTTATCTGAAATTATTAAATCAATTTAATTTTAGTGAATATTTTCTAGAACTTAAATATATAAGTTGAAGTTCTGATGCTAACTTCCAAAGAGGGATCAACTCTTTGTACCTTCTTGGACTCATGTTTTCTACTGATATGAAGTGGAATGATTATATTGAATCACATGATGTGTCTACTGCTAGGAAAGTTGGTTCACTGTGTCATATCAGACAATTTTTCTCGTCAGAATCCATTTTGCACATTTATAAATCTACCATCCATCTGTACATTAAGTATTGCCATCATATGCGATATCTTGACAAAATCTAAAAAAGGATCTGCAATGTAATCGATCTTGACCCAGCATCTCAACTTCAGTCACTTTCTCAACTACATGATGTGGTTCCTTCTGTCTTTTCTACAAATATTTTCATGGCTATTGTTCTTGATGAGCTTTTTCCCCTAGTGCATTGACTACACAATTTTTACTACTTGATTGGCATCTAGGTCCCACCCTTTTACTGTTGAAATAGCTAAATGCAACCACCACTTTTACTCAAACAGTTTCTTTTCTTGCACTTCCTATCTTTGGAACTCTCTTTTGTTTCCTTGCTGTTTTGATAACAATCTCCAGAAATTTAAATGCAACATCAATTGCCATCTTCTGTCTAACTGAATCCTGTTCTTTTATTGTCCTTTCCTCAATACGATAATGAGAAGTCTTTAATGAAGAGTCATTAAAGACTTCTCATTATCTTTCATTCCATGTAACCCTCTGCGTCCTAGCAGCATTGTCATCTTGCTTGGAGTGAAAAGACTAAAAAGAAAAAAGTAAATAACATAATATTAATATTATCTAAATTAATAAATAAAACAAAGAAGTATTCTATCTACTTATGAGAGATTTTTAACATCAATAGATATCTGGAATTTTAGTCTTAAACATCTGATCGAAAGGAGTATATAAAGAATCAATTCTTTGGCATTTTGATTTGTTGTTGAACACATGATACTTAACAGGCTTAAGATTAAAAGATGAAATAAGCTTTTTCGGATTTTAGTCCTAATTGTAGTAGTAAACATTTATATCTCAAGAATTTTTCAAGTACACAAACAAATAAATATATAGGGCAGAGGAAATGAGAATGATTTTCCTAGGAGGCAGCCATCTTTATTTTTTTGTTTTATGAACCAGGTTGTTTGAAAAGCTAATATTCTCTGATAAACCCAACCCTTATCGCTTTCCCATAATGCATTTCAAGATAATGAATGACTTTCACACAGGAATATTTCAAAACAAAATTTTTTAAAACAAAGGTCTGACCAATCACCTCATTTATTTTGGGTTTAATTTGATTTTTTTAAAAATTAGATTTTTTTTTTTCGAAATTGTATTTTGGTAAAATTCCACTTTTGACAGCAAGACTAGTTAATGATTATTCTTGCAAGCACATTCATTTTATTTTCTAGTTTTCAATTTTACATATTAAAGTCTGAATTTTTATTTTAGTTTATACTTGAATTATTTTCATTTTAAATAAAATAACAGAAAATTCATTTTGTTATTGTTCCTCTTTGTCTTTTTATTGTTCCATATTTTTTTATATTTAAAAAAATTTATATATTTTTTTTTAGAATCATTTCTACTGATATTTTTTACTCTTCTTTAATGTCAATATTTCCTTTGTTTTTATTTTTCCTTTAATTTCTTTTTTTTTATATTTTATCTTTTTCTTTTCCTCTTTTCTCTCTCTCTCTTTCTTTATCTCTTATTCATTTTTTTAATTTTACTCCTTTTCTTCTTGTCCCTCTTATTTTCGTTCCTCCTTTTTCTTTTTTTCTTTCCTCCTTTTTCTTTTTTCTCTTTTCTCCTTTCCCTTTTTTCTCCTTTCCCCTTTTCTCTTTCCCCCCCCCCTTTCCTTTTTCTCTTTTCCCCCTTTTTCCTTTTTTCTCTTTTCCCCTTTTCCTCCATTTCTCTTTTCCCCTTTTTTCCTTTCTCTTGTCCCCCTTTTCCTCCATTTTCTCTTGTCCCCCTTTTCCTCCTTTTCTCTTTCCCCCTCTTTTCCCCCTTTTTCCTCCTTTCTCTTGTCCCCACTTTTCCTCCTTTTCTCTTGTCCCCCCCAGTCCTTTTTCTCTTTTCCCCCCTTTTTCCTGCTTTTCTCTTGTCCCCCTTTTTCCTCCTTTTCTCTTGTCCCCCCTTTTTCTCTTGTCCTCCTTTTTCCTCCTTTTCCCCCTTTTCCCCCCCTTTTCTCTTTTCCCCCCTTTTTCCCCCTTTTCTCTTTTCCCCCTTTTCCTCCTTTTTCTCTTTTCCCCTTTTCCTCCTTTTTCTCTTCCCCCTTTCCCTCCTTTTCTCTTTCCCCCCCTTTCCTCCTTTTCTCTTTCCCCCCTTTTCCTCCTTTTTTTTCTTTCCCCCCTTTTCTCTCCTTTTCCCCCATTTTCCTCCTTTTTCTCCATTTTCCTCCTTTTTATCTACCCTATTTTTTCTCTTTTCCCCTTTTTCCCTCCTTTTCTCTATTTTCCTCCTTTCCTTCTTTTCTCTTTTTCTCCTTTTTCCTTTTTATCTACCCATTCTTTCTCTTTTTCCACTTTATTTTTATTTCTCTTTTTCTCGTTTACCTTTGGATTTTCTCTCTCATTTTCTTCTTTTCTCTTATCATTTTCTCTTCCTTTTTTATTTGATTTTTCCCCTGCATTTTAAAAAAAATGTGCTTTTTGGTTAGGCGTGGTGTATGTTTATATATATATATATTTTTTCCACATTCTCTTTTTAGAAAAAAAATTATTATTTTTATTTTAGTTTTCTTTTTAATTTCTTTGCATCGATTGGCAGTAACAATGACAAGAGTCGAACATTAATAAAAACATCCAACCCATACCTCCCCCTTATTCTCAACAAGCATTTGCCACTCACCACTCTTTCACTTTCCTTTTCATTCCTCTCTTTCCCTCTCTTTTTGAGTGTGCCACTTCCCAATTTAAGTTGTGGGTGGAGAGGTTGGGTGAAAAGGAAGAGTATTGGAATGAAGGCTGAAGAACGAATAACCCATAATAAATAAAGTAGGTGGTGGGTGGGGCAGGATCGGATGGGAGTGGGGATTCGGGCAAAGGATAGGAATTTACACATGCCACCCAACTAAGCCAAACTCTCACTACCCCCCAACCATCAACCAACAAAAAGAAATAAATATTTGCATGCGTGATGAGATGTGTACGTATGTGTACATGTGTGTGTATGTGTACTACAAGAAAATGGAAATCTTCCGAACCTGAATAGAGGCGAATTAATAACAATGTGCGTATGTCTCTGATATCGTTATTAAGACTTCAATGTCTCATGGCTATCATAGATTTTATAAATATATGAATGTACCTAATGTTGAAGGAGTGGGGGGGACTTATGTACATAATCTCAGAAATAGGATGCAGTGCTGCTTGATTTGTAAATTAGGAATTAGGACCATGGTAACTAATGGCACGCATGAAGACTGGATAACTTCTGCCTTTGAGTAGATGACCAAACAAAAGTATGTTTGGCACTGTGGATCCATTCCCCTGACAATACCTCCCTTATTACACTAAGAGGAATAGAATCAAAGATCTATTTTTTCAATAACTTTCTTTTTTTCATATTCACTTTCTCACCTTTTCTATAATTTTTATCTTTTCTCTTTTTCACTTTCTTTTTATCCTCTCTCTCTCTCTCCTTTTCTCTTATTCTTTGTCTTTCTCCTTTTCTCTTATTCTTTGTCTCTCTCTCTTTTTCTCTTATTCTTTGTCTCTCTCCTTTTCTTTATTCTTTGTCTCTCTCTTTTTTTTGTCTCTTCTTTTTCTCTTATTCTTTGTCTCTCTTTTTTTCTCTTTTGTCTCTCTCCTTTTCTCTTATTCTTTGTCTCTCTCTCTTTTCTCTTATTCTTTGTCTCTCTCTCTTTTTCTCTTATTCTTTGTCTCTCTCTCTTTTTCTCTTATTCTTTGTCTCTCTCCTTTTCTCTTATTCTTTGTCTCTCTCCTTTTCTCTTATTCTTTGTCTCTCTCTCTTTTTCTCTTATTCTTTGTCTCTCTCTCCTTTTCTCTTATTCTTTGTCTCTCTCTCTTTTTCTCTTATTCTTTGTCTCTCTCTCTTTTTCTCTTATTCTTTGTCTTCTCTTTCTCTCTTTGTCTCTCTTTTTCTCTTATTCTTTGTCTCTCTCTTTTTTCTCTTATTCTTTGTCTCTCTCTTTTCTCTTTATTCTTTGTCTCTCTCTCTTTTCTCTTATTCTTTGTCTCTCTCTTTCTTTTCTTTGTCTCTTATTTTTCTTTGTCTCTCTCTCTTTTTCTCTTATTCTTTGTCTCTCTCTCTTTTTCTCTTATTCTTTGTCTCTCTCCTTTTATTTTTGTCATATTTTGTATTCCAGACCTTTGGTAATTTTCAAAGGAAATCTCTTCAAAACAATTTTAATCCTTTTGTGTGGGTCATTTTGGACAGTGGTTGGATGTTTGCAATAGTCTCAGAATTCAAGAGAAAATGGAATCACTTTAAAAGTTACCAAACTTTGTACTTTAAAATGCTCAAGGCTCCTTAAATCATTCCCATAGCAAAAAATGTGTTCCATAAGCAGAGCTAAATCTTAGGAAGCAGGGAAATTTTATTATAAAACAAAGAAAATAGTATTAAACTATTATGTATTATCAACCCTCCTCTATGCCAGTGAATGCTGGACAATCTCCTCACAGATAAAGAAGAGGAATGTGGTTTTACAGAAGGATTCTGAGAATCCCATGAACTGAATATGTGATTAATGAGAAAGTTTTAAAAATATGGAACTGAAAAGGAATCTTATACTTAGAATCAGAAAAAGTCAAAATTTCTAGGGCATATAATGAGGAAAGAGGGTTTGGAGAATTTGATCCTCACAGGACATATTGAGAATACGAAAGCAGCAAGTATCCTACATAATTATATTGTGTAAATGGATTGGGAGAGATAATGAAAAGACAGACATTACTAAAAACTACAAAGGAGAGGAAATTGTGGAGGACCATAATTCTCCTCGTCCTGAAGGGACACAACACATTAGAAGTAGCACTGATTTAGGTGAGCTTTTAATTTTATTTTTCTTTAAACATTCCACTACATGCAAGGCAATAAAGCCACTAAGATGCAAGAGACTGAACTAGTAGATAAAGTATATTCTAATGTAACCATCTGTAATCCATCAAAATCTGTACAGGTCCTGTTGGTGTTTTGTTAGTGATGGTTAGCCTGTAGTAGTAGTAATAATACTAATAATTAGTAGTAATAAAATACTACTAATAAGTATTAATACTAATAATATATTGGCACTAGTATATCACAATGGTTGGCAAAGAAGGTGTATAGGCAGGTCAAAGGTCCTTTTCTATTTATTCTCCTTTTTTTAATAAAGAAAACTCAGCAAAATGTTTACCCTTCATGCCGGCAAAAGAACGGCTTTAAAAGGACAGTTATTCCTTTGACAGTGCTATTACTGTAAACATTTTTTGACTCCATCAGTAATGTTTATTTACAAGATTATAAAACTATGTATGTGAACCAAGTACAATGAAATATTTATTATATACTTTTATAAAGAAACAAATTCAAAAAGAAATCTTTTTATTCAAAAATTTATAAAAATTTGCAAAATTATCAAACCATGAAAACCAACTACAACACAATATTTATTATTTACTATTTTATAAATAACTATTCATAATTATATAAAAGTATCTATGAATCAGAAAATTTGAATAAACATGATTTTACCAGACATCCATACATTTTATCTCAGATTATTTCTGGTTTTAATTTTTCTAATTTTTATAAATTTATCAATGAACAATTTTTTTTTTTTCATATTTATTCCTTTCATAATCTCGTAAATTATAAAATTATTCTTTTAAATAAGCAATCTAATAAATAAATAGGGTTTAACATCTTTGTTGTTAAATCTCAAGATTAAAGAAAATGTATAAATGCACTTTCATATTTATGGGGTTTTGTTAAAATTTTAATCATTGTTTTTTAAAACAAACATTGTCAAGAGAGTGAAAAGTGTATACAATCTTAGTGGTGTCAAAGGAATAACTGTCCTTTTAACATGGTATTTTTTTATGGACATGAAGATTAAGCCATTCCAAAAACCCAAGGAAATGACTTGTGTAATTAGCAGTTATTAGACCTGGAATTATCTCCCTTGGAAGGACTTTGTCAATCAAGCCTTCTTTAATTAAAAAAAATTACTCAGAAAGCTTGATTAAAATTAGAATAGTTTTTATTCTCCAAATGTTAATGATATTGAAATAACAATAATTGTTGTGTTAAAAACAGGAATTAGATTGTCAACATATATAAAATTCAGTGTGTATGTCTTTTTCAAATGTGGCACTTTGCAGAGAACACAGACAAACACTTTGATTTGCTAATTATATGATTAAATTATTCAGAGCCCCAAGACTACTGTCATGCTGGCACCAGTATCCACCACAGTGCAGTGAGGAAAGTTTTGGAATACTTAGGACCAGACTTCTCCATAGTTTAAAGAGGAAAACATATACCATGCTTTGAGATGATTACCCACCTCCCCACAAAGGTAGAATGTGACACAAGGTAATTTTTAATGTGGGGTTGCCATCAGCCAATCCCCCAAATTGTCCAGTCCTTCCAACCAATGTCAAGCAGGCGTCGGTATTTCATCAGTCATCCCTCTTTAGTGCAATGATGGAGAGATGCTACTGCAAGGTTGCAATCCCCAGGGCCAGGCGCCCTTCATGTCTTTAAGAGGGAGAGAGAACAAGTACCACACTTTGATCTTAGCCTGAAGATCAATCTACTCAAATTTCCTCCTCTACATCAAAATAAATAGTAAGTTTTTGTCAGAATTCCCAAACCAGGAATTGATTTCTTCTTTTTCCCTTCTTCCTCCAGTTACTTCAAGAACTTAGATATTTTCATTTGTCTTGTCCAACATTCATAATTTTGGGAACATGTTCAGAATCAAGACATTATAAAAGTTATTCTCATGAAAAGCGGAATTGACAAGGGCCAAGTTCAAATGTCCATCTCATTGCCAAAAATGAGTAAAAACTATCATATGCCATGATGCATGAATGAGAAGAAGGTGGAGGGTGGGGGATTTGGTGTAAACCTCTCTCCAATAACTAACTGCTCAGGCAGTTATGAATATAAAAAGCTGTGATACCTATTGAACAGGGTCCCCCTAATCCTGAGTGATCGTCAGTGGAGTGCATTAAAATATTGATCAATGTAATGACAATAGCCAAACATCTAATAAAGATTTGGGGGGGGTTAAATGTTTGTTTTTTTTTTCTATTGAATACCTTAGCCTTATTTCTTTGTTCTTTTTTGGTTTCTTCTCTTTTCTTTTTCATTTTCTCTTTCTTTCTTTTCTCTATCTATATTGCTTGTATTTCTCTCTTTTCTCAGTAATTTATTGTCATTGTCTTAACCTTCACTTTATCTCCTATGTTTTTACACTCACCCTTTTGTCTCCTTTGCTGTCATCTTGTCTCCATTGTTCTTTGATTCATTTGTCTCCTTTGCTGTCATTCTGCCTCCTTTGTCTTTGATCTCTGTTTTCCTCTTATCACATGGTCTGATCTGTTTGCCTCCTCCTACTTTGCCTCATCTCTTCTTGCTATCCTCCCACTTTGCCTCATCTCTTCTTGCTATCCTCCCACTTTGCCTCATCTCTTCTTGCTATCCTCCCACTTTGCCTCATCTCTTCTTGCTATCCTCCCACTCTGCCTCAGCCCTATTTAACCTCCTCCCACTTTTTCTTTTCTTTTTGCTTGCTCCCATTTTGCCTTCTTTCTACATACTTTTTATTCAGTTTTTTAGGTGTGGGGAGGGGAGTTCCTTTTCCCTTATTTCTTTTCAATGATTTTTATTATATATTTAACTTATTTTTCATTTAATCTTTTTCTTCCCTTTTTCTGCTTTCTCTCTTCATCTTTATTTCATTGTCTACCTCATCTCTCTCTCTCTCTCTCTCTCTCTCTCTCACTCTCAAAATTCCCTCTCTTTTTTTTTCATCACACATGCTGA